ACTACCTATTGAGTGCAATAAAATAACTTGTCCAAAGTCCCTCAACTTAATAGTGTAGGAACCAGGTTTCAAATCCAGGCAGCCTGGGTTCCAGCCCCACCCCCGCACTCGTAAGCGCTCTGATACCCTGCCATTTAGCACACAACACAAGGAGGCCTGCTGGAGCCCTGGATTCAGTGTTGGGCTGCTAACTCAAGTTCAGAGTTAGAACCCACCAGCAGTCAGTTTCCCTCAAGATTTGAAGCCTCAGGAAGCCTCTAACTCAACTCTGCTCTACAGGGTTCCTATGAGTAAGAATGAACTTGACAGTGCTGGGGAGGGGCGTAGCACACAGAACGCATACTATCATCAGCTGCCTGTATGGCTGGGTCTCCATGAGACTGCGGGGTCCTTCTTTACAGACTGTTGCTGGTATTTTCCTCAGGCCTCTCCTTATCCCAGCAGCAATGTTTTCATTGTCAAATTCTTTCTTTGATGAATATTTACAATGTCTTTTGAGGCTGCAAAATGAGCCCTTTAATAAAGAAGGCCCGCTCTTGCTTCTCTGGAGCACAGCGGTTGTCAACCTTTGGGTCGCGACCCCTTTGGGGGCCTAATGATCCTTTCACAGGGGTCACCTCAGACCATAGAAAAACACACAAATACATATTGTTTTGTGATTAATCACTATGCTTTAATTATGCCTAATTATGTTCAATTTGTAACAATGAAAATACATCCTGTATATCAGATATTTACATTATGATTCACAACTAGCAAAATTACAGTTATGGAGTAGCAACGAAAACAATTTTACGGTTGGGGGTCACCACACCATGAGGAACTATAAAAGGGTCGCGGCATAAGGAAGGTTAGAACCACTGCTGGCATTTACAGCAAACCTTCTATCGCAATGTAGGGTGAGGTGTGGTGGGTGCAGGGCTTACCACTGAGTTGATTCCAACTCTGGGCAGCTTGATGTGACTCAGAGTGGAATTGTGCTCCACAGGGCTGTCAAGGGCTGATGCTTCAGGTCACCAGGCCTTTCTTCTGATGCACCCTTGTTTGAATTCAAACCTCCGAACTTTTGTGTCGCAGTCTAGAGTAGTGAGTGCTTTCACTAGCGGCGTGCATGGTCTTTATGCGGAACATCCATGTGTTAGAATTGCTGAATACGCCTCACATCCGTGTTACACACACTGCGCTCTGCTCAGTCAAACTGTTGGATGCATGTTTTGAAGAATCACAAAATCCATCTCTGCAGCCTAAAAGAGTGCTGTGGACTCTGGTTTATAATAATGTTTGCCAAGGATTCTCTGTAAAGGTTACCTGGTCCACTGACTGAGGGCTGCCCGCTGGAAGCTGGAAGCCAGCCTCACAGTCCAGTTCTACCTTCTACTAGCTCTGCACTCTTAACAAAGCAATGGAAGTTACCTGTGCCTCCTTTCCACTTATCTGTTGAAAAAAGGGGGGAGGCATCATATCAGTAATAGCACCTGACTCATGAGGCTACTATGAATATTAAATAAAGTAAATGGAGGCTCTGACACATTTGGAAGCCATGGAAGAAATGCTATCATAGGTTCGGCTAGCTTATGTCTACTGGAACACAGGAGTGGAATCATACCACTCAGAAGAGAAGGGGAGAAATCAAAAGCCAAAATGAAAGTAAACACTTCAACCCTGAATAATATTAAAATTCTTATTTTTCATTCCTTACATATATTGTGTGTTGTGAAATTGGTGCAAGCTAATGACGGATGGGTTCTCAATACAATTTATCAATTGATAATCTCATCCATTGCTTCAGTGCATTTTTGTTCATTTTACTTGAGCCAAGACTAGTCCCCCAGTTATCCATAGGGACAGAGGAAAGCAGCAAGCATACATGGTTGGTTGAGGTAGTGGATCGGGAGAGGCTTGGAATAGGGAAGTCTGCCAGTCAGTCACCTAAGTATCTAATCTTACAAAAATGAAGAATACGTACGACAAAATTCGTTTTCATGACCAAACGAAGTTTCATACATGGCCAAAAGTTAGCCTTGGTGGAACTATTTTAAAAGCTCAGTCAGACAACAGTCTAAATAAGCATTCTCAATAACCTGAGTGACTTTGAAAGTGATGGTAGTTTGCAAGTCCGTATGGGATGACAGGGACAAAGGGGGGTGGGAGGGGGGAGGACAGGTATTTGTCTTCATTTTGCACCCTGCTGTTTCTCTGCCCTTGCTCCTTTGGCGTAGTAGCAGGAAACTGAAAGAAAAGCCGCCTTGTTCCGTATGAGGCACTTTGCTACTAAACATGAATCGTGAAATTATAACAGGTCGCAAGACTCCTCTCTCTGCCTGATGCTCCTTCTTTACGATCAGATGAAAGCGCCCTACAGCAATAAACATCAGGGGCTGGTGTTTCCGTCTCTGCACCCAACCAGGCTGATCCAAATCCAGAAAGGCCTTTGAAGTTCTAAAGATCTTCAGTGCTGATCAATCCCTCCTCCGGGGACAAAGAGCAAGAAAAACTGGTCCTGGCACTTTAATACTCTGCCAGGGAATGCATTCAACTTAATGCGGGGACAAAAAGGCTTCCTCTGTTACAAATTGACTAATTCTGTACTTGAATGCATTTGATTAAATGAACAGAAGGGGACCTCTTGGCGGCAGAACATGATTATTTTATGTCACACTATCTGCTTGAATAAAGCCAGCTAAGGATGGACCCACGGCCACTGTCAATTCTTATTTCCCTTTGCTTTAGGGGATGGGTCAGGCTCGGGGTCAATTTCAGGGGGAAAGAGTATGTGAATCTCTTAATACACTTGTTCATTTATAATATTTCTATGTTCTCTTGTCCAAAACCAGGTAAGTGAAGACCGAGAAAGGGCTTGACGTCGGTGTTCTTCGTTGCATCGAGGGGATTCTCCCTCCTGGCAGCCGTAGGCACAACAGCCGAGAGCTGCCCGCCCTGGCTTACAATCTGCAGTGCAACCCACGCGCGAATGAGAACATGGCTCCCGGGTCTCACTGCTAAGTGACCGGGCAAAGGTGGACATCAGACGTCTAAGTCCATTCCAATGTTTTCTCTGAAAGGTTCACAAACCTTTTCTCTTTATTGAAAGGTTCTGTGCGGTTTATCCTCTAATGGTATAAATATGCATATTCTAAAAACCAGCACCACGAAAAGGTTATGCCCCATTACGCTTTCCAAGGAGGTTAAAATAAAGTTGTAAGAGCTCCTAATATAATAATTAAAAAGGAAATACAGGCATTTATAAATTAGTTACTTTTTTATTATTTTGGTCACCAAAAAATATTCAATACAGTACAACCATACAGTCGGTAAACATAATTTATGATGATAGTTGAAATAAAGACAAAAATCCCCGTAATGTTACAACTAGGATACTGACGGTAGTTGATTGCCACATAGAAAGAAGAGGGGAACAATACCAACCACAAAGTTCAGAGGCAAGGTAAAGAGTGACACGTGCGAATAATACCAGATTAGCAATAGTTTCCAAATTACCATGGCACGTGTTGACGAGAGAAGATGTTAATCTTTTATAAATTATCAGTGACTCGTCTCTTTTAACACAGGATTGTTTGCTATACAACTACGTTTAAAGAAAAGTGAACTAAGCCCGTACACGTTGGTATGATTGAAAATTAGCATCAGAACACAAATAGTTTCTCTTCTGTCAATTCACCTGTATTTGCAGCATCTTCCACTGAGCTAAGTAACCTGAAGGGGTGTAAGACGACTTTCCAATCTGCCTTGAGACTGATTTCATAGTAGATTAACACATCTGGTTTCCAAAAAGTGTTATCATCTTAACTTTAATGACTCAATTGCATTAAATACTGTATTTACTTGGTGAAACTAGTCATTCTATTTTAGGGATGCTTCCTTTGTGAAGAACAAGTTTCAATAATGACTAATACCTGGGAAGAAATGGCTTAGGACAGTTTACCTCTTTACATTCTAGGTAACATACTAAAGTGCAATATGCCTCCTTACACTTACACACAGATACAAATGCATACACTCATAACCATATAAAAATCAGATGTTGTATTACACGGTATTTTCAATTGAGCAAGTAGCTATAATGCAAAGAGGCACTTCCTGCATGCAATTCATTCTTAATAAAATTTGGAAAAGCTCTCCTCTGCATAGAAACCACAAATTTTAAAGGCCAGTTTCCTATTAATATAATGGCCATACATTCCTCAAACATTGACATGGTTGACCCTACATTTAATATGAAGGTGTGTTATATGTCTGAGTCTGTGAGATACAATGTGCTCGATTTATCTTGGCTTTTATACTACAGTACATTATGTTTCAACCAGTATCATTACCTACATTTGACTTCCTCTCATGCAAAGTTTCTCACCTTCCCTGATTGGCAGTAGGATTTCTTCACAGTACCTTCTTAGGCAGCGCTAGAGCAGTCTATTTTACTCAGAATTCAGTCCTGAGGTATACATTTCCATTTTCTTTGTTGATCTAGCACAGGCTCAGGTGATTTCTACATAATGCATTCAATTAGCTCAAGCAAGGCAAAAGAAATCACATCTAGACTAATCTCCACATTGTTAAGCATAAACAGTAAGAAGATACGTTTCTACTTTTTGCTTGAGTCCATTCAAGTACAAACTGAAGAAAAGGGATTTCCTGTTCTTCTTTTCATACTTCTGAGTATGACGATATCTGATTCTGTTTTTCCACAGTTATTGATAAGACTGCAAAACCTCTCTCACAACCCTCCTTTGTTCTATAGAGAGAGCTTGATTCCCCCCAACCGCCCACCCCCAGTGGTTTGCAAAGTAGACTTGGGTTCTTTTTGCAGGGATTTATTTTGAAGCCATTTTGTTTTCTTCAAAATCAGGGCTTCATTTTAATCAGCTAGTGATCCTGCCCCTTGGGAATCGATTTCTTTTTCACACAAGACAAATCCAGGTCTATTAGGATCCAACCCGTGGAGTTGGAGTATTGTGTGTATTTCACTTACGAAGAGCACCTACATTCATTTTACACGATTCCTCAAGGTGGCCAGAGGGGGTCGTGATCTGCACTGTATCCACCTATAAAAAATACAAAAATATATGTCTGCTTTACCAGGATGTGAGTAGGGACTTGCTCACCTAGTCTCAAAGCTTGGGCTGCACACCTCTTCAATGATGAATCCTTCCTTCTTTAAGATACACCTGCAATGGCCCTATCCTTCTGCAGAAGTCATAGACATCACAATTCTTCCTACCACTCATAACCGCAGGGCATCTACATCAATGCCACTTGCTCATTTCCAAGGATGCTATCTCTGGAAAGAAATGTTTGCATGGCATTGGAAACACAGTTCACTGCATTTTAGGTTTCAGACTTTGCAAGGCTATGAAATGTCAGGGAGGTGGAGGGCTTTGGCTTGGCTCATTAAACATACAAAAAGGACCAAGTGGTAATTCAGATGTCACTGCTTTTACAACTTGCAAACCCCTTGTATTCAAACGACGTAAGTTTGATTGCAATGTTCACACCCTTCAAAGCAGCCCTTGTCTTCAAATGCAACTTAAGATTGTGCACTCTCTGGAAACCTGGCCGATTTGCATGCCAGCAACAAATGGCCTGCTGATGTGTGGTCAAGGATAAATCACTCACCCCTTCAAAGTCAGAACTGTAAAAGGGCAATGTTCGGACACTTTAGATCTAGCTTGCACAGACGAACGTGCTGGTAAATACTCTTTCAAAATGTTTTGGTGCTAATGTCAAATTTAAAGCTGCTAAATGAGTCCTCTAAACTTGAGTTTGATTCCTGCTCTCTCTGCCTGAAGATCCTCAAGGCGTGGTCTTCCAGGGTGATGGTGTAACTGATGCTGTGGGGGAAAGAAATCTTTCAATAAGTAGATTTGAAAACTTCTAAGAAGGCCAGTCGTAATTTCCATAGAGGTGGAAAATGGCATGATTCATTCCTCCAAACTCCGTATCTTTAATAATTAGAATCAGCAAAGAAAAATGTTCCGAGTAAGCAACACATTTCCAAGGTAGCAATTCACCAGCACACAATGGGAACCAGTGTTAGAAAAGAAGCCCTTGATTTATTTCATTGAATGCTCGATCTTATTTTTTAAAGCAATTGTGTGGAGAGAGAGAGAGAGAGAGAGACAGAGAGAGAGAGAGAGATGCAAGGTGTGACTACTTTTACAATTAGTTCATAATATCCAGGGGCAGAGGATGTTAAATGGGTAATTGATTTTATCTTTTTTAGAATTTTTCTTTCCCTTCTCCAACAGCTGTAAGGAGCTGTGGTGATGCTGTGGGCGAAGCACCAGGCTGTTCATACTCACCCACCACAGCAAGGGAGAGAGAAGCTGCTTCGTGCTGGTAAAGATTTACAATCTTCGAAACCCTACGGAGCACTTCTGCTCTGTCCTACAGAGTTGCCGTGCAGAGGAACCAGCTCCATGGCAGGGGGTTGCTTTTCTAATAACCTGAGATGTTCTGGTCAATGACAAACCAAGGATACACTTACCAAGACCATCTATAAACCTTAGTTATTTTAACTGTAAGTTTGAAAGGAAGATAAGTTTTATCTTACATAATCCATATGAAAAATAAAAGTTCCACTACGCATTTAACTGCAAAAAAAAAAAACAAACAACCCAACCCATGTATGTTTATAAATTACCACCATGTTTCTGTAATAGATGCTAGGATCACATTGGATCATCTTTTATGCACTCCCGCTATATGTGATAAACATGCATACTGCGCCCATCTTCAGGGGAGAAGGAAGCCTCGTCGGTCTTTTGCAAGCAGCTGGTGCGTTCACACTCCTGACCTTGTGGTTAGCAGCCCAACACCACCAGGATTTCTATCTATGTATTTATAATGTGTGTGAACTGTTACCCCAAAGAGGCTCAGAGTTCCAAGCCTCTCCATTCCTCTGTTCTTGTTAGCTCACAAAACAAGATTCCAGACAAGGGGAAAAATTCAGACAAGAGCCAGAGTTTGAACAGAAAGAGTCAGTGTATTAAAGGGAAACAATTTGGAGAAGAAGCCCAGAGTCTTTAGCTAGTCTAAAAGGCCCAGAAAAGCACAATGTTAAATCTTACCATATATACTAGTGTATATATACTAGTTTTTCAGCACATTTTAAAATGCAGGATTTTTGGAAAAATAAGGGCCCTGGCCGAAAATTGGGGCAACCTTTACTCAAGTATACATGGTACATTAACTAGTGGAGGGCTCCTCATCAAAGACTGGCTTTCAGGTGGGTCCTTGCTATTGGCTGGTTCCCCAGTAATATCCTTCCTCCTTATAGGTATTCAGACATTCTATCCACCCAGGACCCCAGGCTTCATGCTGTGCTCTTGTCTCAGACCCCAACTCAAGAGTCTATTCCGTTATTGCGGGTGTTGTGTGAACATCCTGTCTTCCCGCAGCCATCTCATTATCTCTATCTGGCCTCTGCCATTGATAAGGACGTGTTTTCTATCTGCCCTTCACTTTTCTCTGTGCTGGAGTGGCTGGTGAGGAGCCTGTCTCTCTGTCTTTTGTGTTTAAGATTCCAATAGTTTCCTTCCCCTCCTTCTCTCCTTGTTATTTTCCCATGCACTAACATCCACCATGAGCCAGGTGTCCAAGTTCCTCGTTTAGTTTTCATCACTAAGCTACCACATATTCCACACATCATCCTGAGTGAACATCACCGCCATTCTTCCTTCTCAGTGTAGACATGGGGAACACAATGAAAATGACTTAATGGAGGGATGCAGATGGAAGGGCCCATTAAGGGTATCAGAAAGCATTTGTTACAGTATCACACAAATGGTTTTCATATTTTCAAATGATATGACTATCGTTGATTTTCTATTTGTCACATGATTTTAGCTTAGGAACTAAGCTCTGAACTGCAGCATATGCTCTATTTTAATTGCACATTATTTTGCCCCTAGTTTCACTCTTAAATTTGAATTTCTCTTCTTAATATCGTCCACATAAAAGGTGTTCTCACCTTCCCATTAAAAAAAGATATTATGTAACATACTCTACAGTGTTTCAATAAAAGAATAAAGCTAAGCAAAATTTTCTATAAAGAAACAAAAACCTCAGGGCTTCAAAATGTTTCATTTTTATTTTCAAGCCTTGACTTATACTTCTACCTTAACAGCACACCTAGAAATACAATCGACTTCCACACTGTACGTACCATGTGCCGTGAAACACAATGAAGCCCACTTACTAAAGCACTATTGAGTAGTACTGCTGTCATTTCTTACATTAACGATATAAGAGGTTTTTGTTTTTGTAATTTTAACCTTTGATCCACTGAGAAAATGTCTCTGCTTACTCACATTGACCTGTCACTAAAGCCAAGAAAAATGGATTCCTCAGTCAGCATTAAAGATTCATGTTTAAAAGCAAACATGCATACTTCAGATCACATAGAGAGCTCACTTCTGAAACCTATCATTGGAAAGGGTCAGGGTGGAAATGGAGGTAACCAGGATGTGTTTGTTTTGATTGGAATCAGCTAATTAAAAAAGCCTGGGAGCAATTTTCGGATCACTCGAGCCTGCCACCAAGGAGATAGGCTCTAGTAAATCACACCAAGTCAGGTCCAATTCTGTTCAAGCTGCATAGACACCGCCTTTGTCTTTGCCTCTCAACCTTCTTGGACAATTCGCTCCATCACGCAGGCAACAAGTGGTGCCCACACACATGCGTGCTCCCATACACACAGAATGAGATAAAGCCCAAGTCATTCCTACCAAGCCATCTTACCCAGCTTTCATGTCATACCCCAGTGATGGAAATAAACTGGGAATTTAATTTGTACAATATTACCAATAAAGGTCACGTAACTTAAGAAAAGCATGCTCTTCTGTTCCAGCCCTCCCTGGGTTTCTGGGGTGAAGGAAGGGCTGGTGAATCAGAGAAAGCAGAAACGACGCAGACCTAGATGCAAGGATATACTGAGCACTCACACTCAATACATATGTTCCTCAGAACTTTGAAAAAAACTACAATTCCATGAATACATAGGAATTCATATATCTGGTGCATCTATTTTCTACTTATTTGAATTAGCTATGCATCAATTCTAAATCATGCACCTATTTAATTGGTGTAGATTAAGTACAAGTATCTGTTGAATGTGTTTACATATAATTGGCAATATATAAAAGGATTCAATGAATATTCATTATTTTTTTCCTTGTCTGATGCTCAAATTTAGGAAGAAGTAGAGGATATCATAAAATACAGAGCATATTGATAAACATTTCTGCAATCTATAAATATGAATGTGACATGCATAGCCTAAGAACTGGTACAAGTAAGCATTTCCTATCAGCATTTAAGAATTAATTTATTTTTAAAATACTGAAAAGCCGTTTGAAAAGGAAAATGAGACTTCAGCCAAACAGAACTGAGGAGAATGGGGGGCTATGTGAAGGGCAATTCTGGGCAGTACTGTGGCCTTTTAATGCCTTTGAATTATGAAAATCATGTGTCAGAAACGATAATATAATTATTATTAATTATTTCACTGGCTCTATAGATGTTAATTACAAGGTTGCACTTACCTTTCAATTATACCTCACAAAATTCTGGTTAATAAGAATTATTTTGCCCATATTTCATATGAGAAAATTAAGTCTCAGAAAGTTTAAACTTCTTACATGAAGCCATCCAAAAATGTGGCAGAACCAGGCAGGAAACTATGACTTTGCCTCCTAATCAAATGTTCTTTCCTCTGCTATACTATGTGTTCTTAAAAAAAAAAAAAAGCTAAAAATGAGGACCTAATGCCAGAGGCTTAAGTGGAGAGGAAATGTTTTGAGAATGATGAGGGCAATGAATGTACAAATGTGCTTTACACAGTTGATGTATGTATGGATTGCGATAAGAGTTGTATGAGCCCCTAATAAAATGATTTTTTTAAAAAAGCTAAGGTATAGTTGTAAATGCCCCAGTTTTCCATGATATTGTAAGGACTAATAATAAGCAAACTTATGTAAGTTTCACAAACTATTTTCAATAGACAATTTAAGAATTTCAGTTTGTAGAATACTCAGGATGCTAC